CGAATATTTGCTTTTTCAATGGCGTCTATTTCAATGAATCTTTTCATGGATAATTATGAAATACTGTAAATGTTAAATAAACGAAAGAAGTAAAGTTTAGTTAACATATGTGTTACTTTTTAAAACATTAATCGATTAAACATTTGAGGGTTGGTTAAAATAAATTATTATATGAATATACATATAGGTTTTACTTAGTTCAATTACTAAAAACGAAAATAATTCATCGGATAGAAAATATCTTCTCAACGACCATTTATCTATCAGTAACAAGATTTATTCCAATATGAAATCAGTCAGAAAGAAATTAACAAAATTTGAAACTCATCTATTTGATATATATTTGAGAATAATCTTTGACTTGTATAAATCGAAAAAGAAACTGATTAGTTTCCTATTTTTTAATATTATTTAATTTTGTTTAGATTCAACATATGCTTTATTTTCAATGAAACAAATGTAGCTGATATTATCAGTTAATTTATTTACGTTTAATTTATTAGGATATATTTACAACGATCTTATAATCGATGAGACAAAATCATGCTACCTATTTTTCAGCATAAATACAACGAATGGTAATATTAAGCTTTTTGGACTCTCATACTTTTCATTTTCTTAGAAATCGTCTTTCTCGAAGTCATGCAAATTCTTCACGAGTTAAATCGATATGAAAAACATGTTTAAGTACATCGAGCAAAATAATAAAAGTAACAGAACTACAAATGACAAGAATAGCAACAGAAGCAAATGATTTGGATGCATATTGTCATATCATCAAATATCTTTCCCTATGTTCACAATGTTGACCTGAATACATTCCATATAAACATTTACATTTATAATTCAAGAATAATGGTCGACAAATGCCTTTGTATAAACATTTTATGTTACGACAATAATCTACTTTTCTTTCACAATTATCACTTTCCCATCCAGTATTACATAAACAAGAAAACTGCATATTCAAATCTATAGAACAACAACCTGAAAATAAAAGGTGCACATGATCTGTTGACTTTTATGATATAAAGAGAAAGATAGATATATACTGTTATTACAACATGTACGAGACTTGCAAAATCCGGTATCAAATTGGCAATCAGTACCGTTGAAATCTGTTTAACATATGCATGAGTAACCGTATGATGTTTTGTTGTCGGCTATGCATGTACCCATATTTTGACATGGAATGAGTATATCACATGAAGTGATAGACACATTACAGAATGATCCAATCTTGTACGCGTCAGAACAACTTTTGGGAACAAAGAAAATCTGTGATAATGTAACTGAAATAAAGAAAATTGTTCAAATTAGAAATAATTTCGACATTTATTTGTTATTTTTTTACTAGGAGATGTTGTTTCTGCTATGATTGCTATCATGATAGTTGTCATTGTAGACGCATCTTTCCTTGAAATTTTTTCATTCATTCAAAGTATAGATAAATTCTCTGATTGAATAAAATTCGAAAAGCAAAAAAGCTTAAACTAAAAATGGATATCTATTGTCTATCAACATCAAAATCGACAGTCTGCTTTTTTTTCTGATGATTAAATAATCATTTTTGAACTGTGCAGAGCCTCAGAAAACTATTAAAAAACAAGTGTACATCTGCATTCCGATGTGATAAAACTAGAATTATCTTTATGTATAAGCAGTGTACTCTGTACAAACGATTTTACCTTTGTTCATAGTTGTTGCTTCAGCTTTTATGATTGATATCGTTTCACTTGTTGTTTGCAACGTTCTTAAGAGAAGGGAAGTTAAAACACAGATCGAACATACAAAACATAATCAATAATAGTTTATAGAACGACAGCTGAGAATATGTGCAAAGTTTTCATTAAAAGCTAGTGTCATCGTTTGAGAGACTATTTTTAAAGAGATATGATGAAAAAGAAAAGATAATTTTGAATCTATTAATAGATTTCGTTTTGTCGGTTTATCTTAACCGTTCAGTAATATTTATCAATTTGACCTGTTAAAAAAAGAACACTGTTGATCTATTGAAAAAAATCTGTTTTTGAACAAAACCGGAAATATTATAAGACTACATTATATCGTAAGTTGTTTAGTGAAATGAAGAGTTTTCTTAATAGGATGAAATATTCAGATTTTATTGATTGCAAACTAATAGAGTACCTATACAAAGATGGATTTGAAGTTGCTAAAAATCTTCGTTGGATTAAGAAAGCAAGTATTATCACAATTATGAACTCATGAGGTTTATATCTAATTTATTCATAGCAACGATATGGCACATACTATATAGCTGAGTTAATGATATGATCATTTGTTGGTTTGATGAAGTCATCGTTTGTGGATCTGATACAGTCATCGTTTGTGGACTTGATGAAGTGATTGATTGTGGACCTGATGATGTGATCATTGGCGCACTTAATAAAGTGATCATTCGTGAATATGCTGAAGTAATCATTGAATTGGTTGTCACCATTGATTGAGCAGTAGACTGTTCTATGCCTGTCGGTAAACGGAGTAGAAAAAACAAAAATCACATATGTAAACTAAATTAAAATATAGTAAGATATTACTGAGTTGTGTAGTTGTTAGCATCTGTTGAGATGCTGTCATTGGATCTACAAAAAAGAATAGATTGGCATCTTTGTTATAGATATGTTTATAATTTTAATTGTACTATTATTTTAAACACATTAACTGTTAATTAGGGGTGTGAATTTATTGTTATTGTTATTAATAACAATAACAAAAAAAGTTATTTGTTATAATAACAAAAAAATAACAAATAACTTTTTTTTCCGAAAAATCTTAGTTATACTTTGCTACTATGTAACAGTATACCAGTTCTGTTTGCTCATTATTGTCCGATTGCTCGATGATGTTACGGACCGCAATCTCCATTAGATAGCCTATGAAACTGAGAAAAATCCTAAAAAGATCTTTTCAAGTATCCTGCTCATCTATAGGCAAAATTTACTGATCGCTTTACGAGGAACGATTCCTCAATGCTCAATTGTCTTTGACTTGATGCGTTGGTCAAATATAAGTCTTTGGGTGATGAGAAAATGTCTAGAAAGATTGTACAGATCATAATTTGAAAAATGGCACCTAGAATCTCATTTCTCAAAGACTTTTATTTGACCAAAACATCAAGTCAAAGGCAATCGAACCTTGAGGAATCGTTCCTCGTAAACCGATTAGTAAATTTTACCTGTAGGTGAGCAAGATACTTGACAAGATCTTCTTAGGATTTTTCTCAGTTTCATAGGCTATCTAATGGAGATTGCGGTCCGTAACATCATCGAGCAATCGGACAATAATGAGCAAACAGAACTGGTATACTGTTACATAGTAGCAAAGTATAACTAAGATTTTTCGGAAAAAAAAGTTATTTGTTATTTTTTTGTTATTAATAATAAATAACTTTTTTTGTTATTGTTATTAATAACAATAACTTTTTTTGTTATTGTTATTGTTATTAATAACAAAAAATAACAATAACTTCTCACCCCTAATTCACAATCAAACTTTTCCAATCGGTCATTACTATATTTCGTACATCTGATACAGATTTTAGTTCAATGAATTATATTATACTTATTTATATATATCATGAAATATCAACATTGATATTATGTTGTATTTGATTCTATAAATCTACAGTACCCCGAGTGAATCAACAATTCGATAAAAATGTTAATTTTTAAGAAAACTTGAAATTACTTAAGTAAAACTTCATTCATGAAAGAAATATGGTTCGCAGAAAATGTTGAAGTTCAGAAAAACAGATAAGGTGCTTTATTTTGTTAAGATATTTCAAGTTGGTGTTTTTCATTTGAAATAATAGGTTCTGTTCAGACTCATCCCTGTATTGTTTTTCTTTCTCTTGGCATTTTTTTTTCAGATAAGCATCATTCTGATTTACTTGGTTACATAGTGAACTTGGATTTGATTTTTGATGAATGACTGACTAATCTTGCACATGCATCAATTTATCAGTATTTTGAAAAGTTATAATTAGATATGTTCAATTATATTTAATTTAATGTTAAATATGATGATTATTGGGATTGAATGAATGGATAGCAATCATGAACACTGTCGTTCTTATTATAAATTCTTCTCCTTATTATTTGGAATACTCTGAAATTTTATTCTGAAGGCATGAAAGTTACGAAATTTAAATTATGACGTTCTTTTATTTACTTGACCAATATGACACGTAGACTTCTTTTCTTGTTATCTCTCAGCCATGACTCTTATCAAAGATACGTGACCATAAAAATGTAAGTGTGTGCAGTTCATTTCAAATTTTACATGCAATGATTTATTTGGCATATTAATAAGAAAAAGACGGATGTGTTTTTATTATTCGTCATTCACATATGGCTATTGGAGTCTTCCAACGATGTTGGTTTTTTTCTGCATGTGATGTTTTTACCAACATGTTAAGATTTAGTCTGTATTTATGCGTTTCAATCAGTTATTCGTTTTAATGCATATTCGAACCAAGTATTCATCGATATTTATAAACTTATTTTTTATCAATTTTCTCTATACCATGGTTCGAATATGAGTCGTTTTCCTTCATGTACGTATAATTTATAAATATTCATGTACTTCAGCAGTATTCAAAATGAGTTATGATATAAAGAGAAGAGCTTATTCTTCATTATTAATAGAATTTAATCCGAATAGATTACAGACTATTCATGACACAAGTTCGAAATTCATTTCTCATATTCTTTGTTACAAAATAGTCGTAATTATATAAATATTGACTCTTATTTATTTACCATATTGATATGCACACACATCATGTGTATGACTGATAAGTAATCTGTACTCAAGAATTTCGATCAAGATCATGAAAATTTTGTAAAACATTCATTAAATGTGTCAACAAAATCGGGACTACCTCTGGATTAGCTACTATATAAAAATTTGTAATAAAAACAAATATATTTTTTATTTCTACTATTACAAATTCTACTAGTCGAATATTATAGATAAAAATGCCTAATAGTGGTTATGTACCAGATGCAAATATCAATCATATGATTATTTGGCTGGATGCTGGTATCGGAGATTTTGACAGCAATCAACACTTAAAAAAAGCATTTTCAACTCAAGCTGATCCAACACATGAAACACCAGTGGGCTTATTTGATAAAGATGCTGCAGAGTTACTTCGTGTAGAAGGTCCTTTACCAATACATTTCGAAGGGGTTTATTTTTTATTGGCAGCATTCAAAAATATTGAAAGTTGTCTCAATTGTTTTGAACACAACCAAAATAAACGAATTTTTTTTATTACATCAGGAACATTGGGAAGAGAGGCTGTACCAATTATTATAGAAAGATATAGACATATATTCACTGATCCAGTTACTAATGAACCATACATGTCAATTTATGTTTTTTGTCGTGATATTTCACTTCAAATTGATTGGGCGCTGGAGTATCGAGATTATATTCACATTTTCAATTTTGATGCAGATTTACTAAGTCGCATGGTACGCGATATTAGTGATTATTTTCTTACTGAAAGTAAGCGTCTATTAAATAAAAGTCCTCCAAATAATGCAGCTGCTTATCATCGTCTAAGTTGGTCAAACGAGCTGTATAAACGATATAGTAAAATGGAAAATAACTCAATGAAGAAAGAACTTGATGAAGTCAATAAACTTCTAGAAGATGTAGAAAATAAAGTAAAATCATCGTCCGATGAAAATGATTGAATTTTGAAGCAAAACTTACGTTTAATCTAACTACGTATTGTTATTTGTAAAAATATTGTGAAGGCGACGTATAATGGTTTTGTTTTTATTGTGTATATGTTTTGTTACTTCTAACGATATGAAACATGCATGTTTGTTGATCAAGACATTTTTAGTACTAAGTTGAATAGTGAAAGAAAATGCATATATTATCAGTTCAAAGATTCTAATTCAAATAGGATCTTCTCTTCGAAAAGTTGCTATGTATGAGAAAAGTTACCTTTTCACAAATGAGTCAAAAAAATGAAATGAATACTTCAGTTCATGAATGCGAATAAAACAACTAGCTAAGAAAAACCAAGAAACAATTTCTGAATGGTCATTTTCATAATAGAATGATCTTTTAAGCAGAATAGTATTGATTATTACTGCTATATTTAATTACAAAATTCACAATGTATATATTTATTCGTAACAAATGAATACATTGCGAAACAATTCAAAATAAATGCTTCATTTCGTTTATATTACTTTCTTAATATTTTCATTCGTATATTTTGTTTTTTGAATGAAATCTTTGGAGACCTGAAGTAGATCTTAAACAAAAGAAAAATAAACAATTTTTTAAAGAATTTGACATGTGAATAGAGGAAGCTAAACACTGTTTGGTTGATTTTAGTCATCTACAAGGGTAATAATAACAGTTAAAAAATGACACTTGAAAATTCGTATGATTTTTCAATGATTCTTTCACGATAACCAAAGATAACTTCATGAGTATTGTTGATGTGTAGACTCATGGGTTCAGTTTTGAGTATCGCTCACTAAGACTTGTTTTACATGACTCAATAGTTGTTATACACAAGTTGGAAAATATACTGTTAGTTGTCAAGTAGTTTGTTATTTATTAATGACGATTACACTAGCTCGTACATGATTACAGTCATTTGAAGTTGGAAATTTCATTCTTTTTCGTTTATTCTTTATATTCTGTCCAATTAGAAGATTTCTTTGCAACATAGAACAATGAGATATAGTACAATATGTTAGTAGTAAAAAACCAACATACCACAAATACACATAAACATATTTGTTTTCATGGACTTTTATTTTACGTTCGATTATTCGTAAAATAATAAGAGCAAAATAGCAGCAGCAGAAACAACTCATTGAAAAAACATGTTTTTTGCTCGTCATGAAATACAAAAAAATATTGACATACTTCACTATGGTGTCTTTTTAATGTTTTGCGTTCTTTCATTTTCTTCATTGGAAGAATAATTGGATACAAATACTAACATACAAAAAAAAAATATATTTTTCTATTTATATTTATGACAAATATTTAAATAGAATATTATTTATATTGAAAATATCATCAGCTGATGATGTTCGATTTATCTAATTTGATGTATTTAAAACGGAAGCAAGAAAACATAATGATTCCATACGATTTCTCTTTGCTTAATGAATTGAAATTATTAGCTTCTATGAATTCAACTATTCATGCTGTAATTTAAAGGGTGGCTACATTTTTATTCACTGATATTTCTGATATGAAATAATTGAACTTATTTTGAAGAGCATCATGATAAAAAAAGTTCTATTCATTTTATGGAGAGCATTTAGTGAAAATATTATTTCACATGTCAGTTCTACATGTTCTGTTTTTCATTCATTGTATGTTTCCTATACTAGCATGTTAAACAATCTTGTTAGATCTTTCTTACATACTACTCAGGACTTAAAAAGTTTCATTAAAATGAAAAAACGAGCATTTAAATTGATGTATTTAAATTTCTTTGATATAAAATTCATGAAAGTTACGAATGTTTTGCTTTGTTAAAACTATTCAAGATTGAAATTGATTTATTTGTGTGATTCGAATATGATACTTTAAATATCTTAGCTACTGTAATAGAAACAAAAAATGTGTCATTTCGTCAATTATTTAGTTATCTTAGATGGCCACTAAGGTAAAATAGAATTCATACGACAAAAGAGCAACATGTTAAATCAACAATAAATCTATCAGTTAGAAAAGATCAAACAACTATCACAATAAGAATTGCAAGATCTTTGATTTATTATTAATTGTCAGAGATCGGCTCGATTCGATTCAAAAAGAACTCTAGAGTGTTAGTCTGAAGAATACCTACACCTTTACATACAGACATTCTAGCAGATTTACGAAACTACTTTCGCTGACGCTCTGGATTTGCAACAGTAATCGAAAAGTAAAATTTATTTTTACACCCTCTATTGGATATTGAAATAAGAACTCTGTTATTTTCTGTGATAAATCTCAAAAAACTGAATCTTAGAATTTTCAATTATGATGACAGTTTATTATTGTTCTTATGACACAGTTTTGTAGCTAGCTATTTTGTTGATGAAAGCTTTATGTAACAATGTGCCAAGACTCAATACAAAGATTAAATTAAAAATATTTTGAAGAACAGGCATTGAATGATAAAATCGTTCAAATAAAATATTAGTCAGAGTATTTTCAATAGCTTTCTATTGAATTTAATAACTAAACAATTTAAAATAATGTCTATAATTAGTAATCTAAGTTCATAACAATAATATCGTATTTTAACAGTTATCAAAATACAACCATTGTTCCTCATTGAAATTATGGTAAAGCAAGCTGTGGTTAGTCAGTCAAACCTTCTGTAACAACTTCAGTTAGTAAAAGTAAAATAAAACGTTTTTTCATACTGTCGATAGTAGCAATGCCTATGTATATATTGAGCATTTACATACAGTATGAGTTATAGTCTTTCATACACTTATGTAAGTGCTAATGACGTCGTAAGTGACTGTTTTTTAGAACAAAATACACATTTCTCTCGTATTAAGATTAAAATGAATCATATTTCTATTGTAATAGTTATTCGTTGATGTCCGTGTCAGGTCTGATCATTAGTAAAACAACAGTCTTACCAGTGAGACATATAATCCTCGTAATTCTTTTCATTTTTTTAGTCTTACTAATGGATATTTACTTCAATTAAGTGTCGTAAATGCCTCAATCAGACAAAGTCGTTGTCGATATGAAGAGAACTGAAGCAGGGTTATGGGGAGGCATAGCATTCTGGCACGTCATCTGTTGTGAGACGGATCGGATCAAGATGGATTTCGTTGTTTTCTCCCTCCTACAGTCACCACTTCTAGCACTTCGAGTATCAACGTACTTTGTTGAAGAATTTTTTGGACTCTGTGTGGAAGTTTTAGCCACTACCATCATTCGATTCCTAAAAAAATATCAACAAATATTGTTATTAGTGCATCTAATTAGATTCATGATAACTTTGAGAGTTATTTTTTAGATAAATGAATTTAATATGAATAATTGTCCATCTACGACAAATATCTGACATCAATTTAAAATACATTTTTGTGGTAGCATAGATTGAAAGTACTCATCGATATACATGATAGCAAAATAACTCTAGTCAGATTTGAAAAACCTAATAATACAGATTTAACACCAACAACTAATATATTAAAACCTTTATTTTTTGATTCATTTAGAATCATTTTCTTCATGTATTAAATATATATTTGCATATAAAACATCATGTATTCAAATTTTATTTTATTGTTCTATAATATATTTAAATCTGTTTAGTATCCATAATTGATCAATAAAGAACTGCAACCATTTATTGAGTATTTTTAACTGATGAATAAGAAATTGTGCTCTGTTACTGGTAGCATCTGGCTTTGAAATCAAATCCATAGTACTTCGAGTGAGTCAACAATGCGATTTAAAGAAAACTTAAAATTACTGAATTAACTATTCTTTAACGAAAGATCGAAATTGACACAAAACTTTAATTTCTAAAAAAAACAGACCAAATATGTTATTCAGCTACTTCAAGTCGGTATTTTCCATTTCAAATAACAGATCTTCTTTAGACTCATCCCTGTATTGTTTTTCTTTCTCTTAGCATTTTTTTGTAGATAAGTATCATTCTGATTTACTCAGTTTCACAATTAACTTGAATTTGATTTTTGATGAATGATTGCTCTTGCACATGCAGCAGTCTTTTAATATTTTAGAAACTATAAATAATTACAGGTTCAATTATATTTAATGTAATATTAAATATGATGATTATTGGGGTTGAATGAATGGATAGCAATCATGAACACTGTCGTTCTTATTATAAATTCTTCTCCTTATTATTTGGAATACTCTGAAATTTTATTCTGAAGGCATGAAAGTTATGAAATTTAAATTATGACGTTCTTTTATTTACTTGACCAATATGACACGTAGATTTCTTTTATTGTTGTCTCTCAGTCATGACTCTTATCAAAGACACGTGACCATAAAAATGTAAGTTTGTGTAGTTCATGTCAACCTTTATATGCAATGATGTGTGTATCATATTAATAAGAAAAAAGAACGAGTTTTTATTACTGTTTGTCGTTCACACAGAACGGTTGGAACTTTCCAACAACGATTAATTTTTTTTCACCTGTATGATGTTTTTACCAATATATAGAAATTTTTGTCTGTATTTATATGTTCTCAATCAATCATTCGTTCTAGTACCATATTTCAATGTGGCATTCATTAATAGTTATAAATTCATTGCTAATCACTTTCTGTATAATACAGGTCTAATGTAAGTTTGCTTCCTCTCTGTAGGTAGAATTCATAAGTGTTCACATACTTCGATAAAATTCAGATTGAATGATAGTATAAAAAAGAAAAGCTTGCTGTCCATCAATAATGGAATTTAATAAGAATAGATTATAGATTATTCATGACACGAGTGCAGAACTCATTTGTAGTATTCTTTATTAAAAAATAGTTACAGTTATTTAAAAACTTTTGTCTTATTGATTACAGAATAATGATATCAACACACATTATGCTTGTGACTAATGAGTAATCTGCACTCAAGAACTTCGAACAAGATCATAAAAGTTTTGTTTGAACACTTATTGAACTAATCGACAAAATTAGGATAATATGTAGATCAACAGCCATATTAAATTTAGTGACTACTCACTAAACTTCCTCCTACAGTTAATTTGTATTTTCACAATTCTACAACACAGATATGCTTTAGATCTACTGTTACTAATTCTACGTGAAATATTCTACACAAAAATGCCTAATGATGCTATTGTACCATATGAAGAAAATCCAAATCATATGATTATTTGGCTGGATGAACATATCGGAGATCCTAGTAGATATCAACATTTAAAAAAAACATTTTCAACTCAAATGGATCCCCAATGTGAAACAACAGTGGATTTAGTGGGTGCAGATTATGCCGAAATACTTAGTGTAGAAGGTCCTTTGCCAATACATTTCGAAGGTGTTCATTTTTTATTGGCAGCATTCACTAATATTGAAAGCTGTATCAATTGTTTTGAACACAATCAAGATAAACGAATTTTTTTTATTACATCAGGATCATTGGGAAGAGAAGCTGTGCCAATAGTTCTAGAAAGATTTAAAAAAACATTTACTGATCCAATCACTGATGAACCATACACGTCAATTTATGTTTTTTCTAATAATATTGCCGACGATCGTGATTGGGCGCTTGATTACTGTGATTATATTCAAATTTTCGACTTCGATGCAAATTTATTAAGTCGTATGGTGCATGATGCTGGTGATTATTATTTTATTGAAGGTAAACGTCTATTAGATGAAAGTCCTCCAAATACTGCAGCTGCTTATTATCGACTTCATTGGGCAAATATACTTTATAAACGATATAGCCAAATGGAAAATGTCTCGATGAAGAAAAAGCTTGATGAAGTTAGTCAACTTCTTCAAACGGTAGAAGAAGAATCAAAATCATCGTCCGATGAAGATGACTAATTTTTAAACAGAAGTTACTGTTAATCTAACTGGCTATTGTTGTTATAAAGATATGATAAAGCGATGTACTATGTTTTTTTGATTTTTTTGCTTATATGTTATATTATTTCGAACCATATAAACCATGTTTATTTATGGACTACGAAATTTTTAGTCTTTTGCTCAATGGAGAAACAGGATCGTGGTATAGTCACTCTAATAGAACCTAATTGAACCAACATGTTGTCTTCAACAGATTGCTGCCTATGGTAAACCTATCTTTTCATAAATTAGTCTGGAGAAATGATATTGTTTTTTTCGGTTGATGCATGTGAATAAAACGAAAAAAAAAACCATGATAATTAATATAACATAAAGAGGATTCAACATGTTATGGGAAAGTAATATCGATATCATAATAGTAATGGCGAGAAAATAATTTTGTTTTTGAAGAAATTTCTTAATTATGAAGTCACATTGCTGAGACATAACGCCCGAAATGATTTCATGTTCGAGAATAATAAAAATTAAAATACTGTTTTGTCATATCTGAGCTCAAAATGAATATTCGCTCTCATGAAATATTTAATTACAAAATTCACAATATATATTTATGCATTCTTAAGAACTGAATAACTACATTGTGAAACAATTCAAAAGTGCTAACAAAATCATACGTTTCGAGTCGAATGTACTCTCATGACATTGTCATTCCGAAATTTTTTTAAAATGACATATTTAGAGAATTCGCGTAGAATATGAAAAAGAAATAAATAGTTTTAAAAAATAATATAACATGTGAATATAGTAAGCTAAATAGATTTTTTGTTAATTATAGTTATCTACAAATGTAATACTATTATAAGATGATACTATACAAAATTGTTGTTTCTTTTTTAATGATTCTGTAACGGTAACCAACGACAACTACTGGTGCCTCTTTTATTCGATAAGTGGCGTTGATATAATGTAGACTCATGGATTCAGTTTTGAGTATCGTTTACTTGAACTTGTTTCATACGACGCAATAATGGTTACCCACAAATTGGAAAATATACTGTGAACTGTCAGTTATTTGCATGTTGTTAATGATGATTGACATTGATTTATACTCAGTCAACATCAATCAAAGTTGGAAATTTCGTTTTTTTTTCGTTGATTCTTGATATTCTCTCGAATCAGAAGATTTCTTTGTGGTAAAGTATGAGACATAGAATAATAACTTAGTTGTAAGAAACCAACTTACTTTAAATAGAGATAAAGATATTTGTTTTTTTTGGTTTTTTCTACGTTTGATTGTATTTGTACAATAATCAAGGCAAAAGAGAAGAAATAGAGGCTACTCATTGAAAAAAATTCTTTTTTGTCGTCATGAAATACAAAAAAATATTGACATATTTCACTATGACGTCTGTTAATGTTTTGCGTTCTTTTATTTCTTCATTGGAAGAATAATTGAATATTATTACTGACATGAAAAAACATATTGGTGTCTACCTATATTTGGAACAAGTTTTTTAATAGAATATTATTTATATTGAACATATGATTGACTGATCATTTTCGATCTATCTCATTCGATGCATTAATAAGACCAGTGAGAAAATGTAATGATTACAAAAATGTTCCTTACTTGATGTAGTATGGCTAATAGCTACAAGAAATTCACTAAGTCGTGCTTTCAATGAAACTATGGCTCCATTTTTATTCACAAATATTTCCAATCTAACGGGATAGAATTTATTTTTAAGAACATTTTGATAAAAACAAAGAGCCATATTCATGTCATTGGGATCAGTTAGTAAATTTACATATTAGTTCTACACATTCTTATGCTGATTCATTGTATATTTTTTTGTACTAGTATGCAAAGCAATGTTGATTAGATTTTTCTTGCATATAATGTAAGGACTTAAAATATTTCAGTAGAAATGATAAAGCGGGTATTAGAATTGATGTATCTCAATTTCATTGATGAAAACAGACATTTTTATTATATTTGCTTGATTAAAATGTCAATTATAATTAATGACAGCATGGTATATGAATTTTAATATAATCTTGAAATTGATTTACTTGTATGATTGCCATGCCATATATTACTATATATCATTAAGCAAGGTCCGAATGAACAGGAATTTGAACGGATGAATAAATGCATTGAAGGTGGTCGAACTTCAAATATGTCAGCTAGTGCAATTGATATATTAAATCCGTCATTTCGTCCATATTTAGTAATCTTAGATGGCTATGAAAGAAATATTGGATTCATACGACAAGCAAAAGACGTGTTAGCGCAACAATAAAACAACAAACACAAGCGTCAGAAGAAATTGAACAACTATCGTAACAAGAATGACAAGATCTTTAATTTATAATAAATTGTCAGAGATTGGTTCGGTTTCAAAGATGAACATATGAACCGGTCCCATCTCTATAAATTCAACAATTTTCTTCTGCGTCAATTTTCTTTTTATCGATTTATTCTTTGCTATTTTTAATGTATGTATTTGCCTATTGTAAGAATATTTCATATAGTGTTAAGAAAAAAGAGCTACTTGGCAAAAGTTTCACAAGAAGCCCGTTTGAATTTTCTTTCTTCCTTCCTTATGTGGTTATTACGCTTTTTGTTTTTCTTTCTTTCGTTCTGTTCCGTTGGTTTTTTCCCTGGTTTGCTTCTTTATAAATTGACACAAAAATAGCAATTATTCAAAACAAAAGTTCTACATTAAATTTATCATTATTTCAATTGATACTATATTTGATACAAACAACTACTGATCAACAATTAACAAATAGTTATACCAACTCAGATTAATATTCAAATGTGCAATAAAAAATACAAGTTTTAAATTGAATTTTTATTGTCAAAATAGCAATAAAGAAAAGAATTGTAAGCACAAATTAATTTTTGATAATAAATTCTACAATTGATCATCGATTTAATTTATTCGTGTGATTTATATTCTGAACAAACAAAAAACATTATGATATTTTAAGCACGAATAAATATAAAAAAATAAGGTGATCTAGTTTCTTGTATCCTCGATTTATTCGAAGACAAAAATGAAATTATTGATCAAATTAAAGCTTTTATATTTTTATTATAATAAGTTTATCTTTGTTTTGTTTTCTAGATAAGAAACCTTATTAAATATGGCCACTCCTGTTCCAATACCATAATTTATTATTATCTGGTTAGATCAACATATTGGTATATTGGAATCAAATAAACTATTAAAAAGTAGTGTTAGTGAACAAACAAATCCAGAAAATGCATCACCAGCGTCTCTCGAAGATCGTGATATTGATAATTTAATTAAATTTCGAAATAATATCGAAGAAAGTTTTGATAAAATTCCCAAAAATTTAAAAGCATTTAGTCAATCAAGCAAATGTCTTGATTGTATCGATGCTAATTTGAATAACCAGAAAATCTTTTTTATTACATCTGGTTCAGTGGGAAAAGAAATAGCTCCTGAAATTATTCAGAAATATTCATCCTTAAAAACAACTTACGTCTTTTGAGGGTATTACAAAGCTCATTTGGAATGGGTGGACGATTGTTTAGATAAAGGAATTAATTGTATTATGTATGACTTTCATACTGATCTTTTAGTAAGACTTTTAAGGGATGCCGTTGAATATTTTATATCCGAAGGTGATGGTGAATTATGTCTTGATAAAAATCTAGCTTATTCGGCTATTTGTTATTTTAATTGGGCGAAACTACTTTTAGAACGAGCAAATAAATTTTCTCTGACAAAAGTCTTCACTCGACTTACATATGTCGAAGACCGTATCACATATGCTGAACAATTAATAAAAAAGTTGAACAGGAATAATGATGATAAAGTGTCTAGTGAATCATTTCAATGAATAAATTTTTCTTATACATGATTTTATTGTAAATATCTATTTTAGATAAAAATGCCTAATGATGCTACTGTTCCATATGAAGAAAATCCAACTCATATGATTATTTGGCTTGATGTTAGTATCGGAGACCCTAGTAGATATCAACACTTAAAAAAAGCGTTTTCAAGTAAAAGTGATCCCAAACATGAAACACCAGTGGAATTAGTGGATGCAGATTATGACGAAATACTTCGTGTAGAAGGTCCTTTGCCAATAGATTTTGAAGGCGTTTATTTTTTACTGGCAGCATTCACTAATATTGAAAGCTGCATCAACTGTTTTGCACAAAATCAAGATAAACGAATTTTTTTTATTACATCAGGATCATTGGGAAGAGACGCTGTACCAATTATTATAGAAAGATTTAAAGAAACATTCACTGATCCAGTCACTGATGAACCATATATGTCAATTTATGTCTTTTGTCATGATATTTCACTTCAAATTGATTGGGCGCTTGATTACCGTGATTATATTCAAATATTCAATTTTGATGCAGATTTACTAAGTCGTATGATACGCGATATTGGTGATTACTTTCTTACTGAAAGTAAACGTCTATTAGATGAAAGTCCTCCAAATAATGCAGCTGCTTATCATCGTCTTAGTTGGACAAAGGAACTTTATTATCGATACACCAAGATGGAAAAGGTCTCGATGAAGAAAGAACTTGGTGAAGTCGATCAACTCCTAGAAGACGTGGAAGAGGAATTAAGATCATCGTCCGACGAAGATGACTAGATAAGTAGCAAACTTATATACATTCTGTACAACTAACAATTATTTTCATCGAAAAATATTGTGACATTGTTAATGTATGTGTTTGTTTGTTTTTTTTAAATTTCTTTATAATTTTAAGTATTGCATCTATAAATATTGACCTTCGTTAGTCATGAAACTTTTAATTTCCAGATTAATAGAAAAAATTAATTTAGGTAAAAATTTCGACAATCATTGAGAATCAAATCTTCCACGATTGAACAATCTTAATGTTGACAACAAATACTCTCAATAAATCTGAGAAAGTAATAAATTTCGTCTTTTTGTCATGACACAGATGAATTTGCTTCATGTCAATATTGATCTTTATTCGAAAAAAATCAATGCAATATTTTTCATTAAAAGTGTACCTTTATGATTCACATCATGTTGGAAAAAACAATAGTTTGCTTAGGTCATAATTTAAAGATTTTCCTGTAATTGTACATAGGGCTTCCTGATTGGTAAAGAACAGACGTCTAATGCAAATGAAAAAAAAAACACAGTCATTACAAATATTTGTTTTTTCTCTCTATGGTCTTGTGTTGTCTATTCCATCTTCCTTGGTTTTTACCAAGTTAAAAAAAAGTAAAGTATTTGCCGCTTTCGCTTAACGTAACTTACATTTATAAAAACTTTCTTCCTATTCTTTAAACAGTGTTTAAAATAGGTCAGACTGTAATTAGATTCAATTTACATGTTACTGCAAACGTTTTCAATGAATACTATAGAGTAGAATTTGGCCCTAGAAAGAAAGCATCATTATCATATAAGTAATGAAAATATTCTACGTCGTTATGCGTAAAATACAATACAGTATAACAGGATAATAAAAGTATTTTCGTGAGATGAAGGTGTGGAAGTCTATGTTTTTGAGTCTTAAAAAACCTTGACTTTTACATTACTTATTTACTTGCATAGTTGTAGAATATAGTCAGTATGCGTGAAATCATTTGCCTATTGATAGAAGACTGACATTTTGATGAAATAGAAATATTTTTATCAGTTATCTTCTACTCACTCACAAGACTAGAATATAATTTCGAACTCTATTCTACATTCTATTGATGTGTGACGTTTTTCGCACCACATAAACAGATTGTTTCTTTTTAGCTGTTTACTTTTTTTTTTAATTTGGAAGTCTCTTTAACAGTGTACGTTTATTCATGGTTTTTGTCGATATTTATTTTTTTTTATGAAACTACCCTTTATTCTGAATAGCATGCTTTTAACTTCATGAATATTTTAGATGGCAGATACTTTATCAGAGCCTTTAATTCCAGAAGATTATGATTATAAAACTCCAGATCATCTGATCATCTGGCTTGATGCTTATATTGGTGATCCGGAAAGATATCATCATTTAAAAAAATCTTTCTCCAGTAATATTGATCCACGAAATCAAACTTGGACAATGTTGAATGATCGAGATTATGACAATCTTACCCGTACTCATGAAGCGATGCCAGTCAGTTTTGGTGGTATACTTTGTTTACTATTGGCATTCACTGATCCAAATGCATGTTATGCAGCATTTGAAAAATACAAGGATAAACGTATTTTATTTATTACTTCTGGATCTTTGGGAGAACATATAGTGCCAAGCATCATTGCAAATTTTAGAGAAGTCTTCACAGATCCAATAGGCAATGAACCATATAGTACAATTTATATTTTCTGTGGCAATATTGCTTATCACAAGAATTGGGCAATTCCATATGTGGAGTATATTCTAATGTTTGATCATGAAGTAGAGTTATTAACACGTATGACATGCGATATGGCTAAATTTTATTTCACAAAAGCTGGACGCTTAAATGCACATGGAGATCTTGAAAATGCGCTTCGATTTTATGGTTGGTCAAAAAGACTCTATTTGCAAAATGAGAAAATTGGAGGATCTTGTCGAAGTCGTATTAATGAAATCGATGAAATGACAGCAATTGTAGAACAGGCTTTACGATCACGTAGAGTTTCTGCTAATCATGATGCACAGAATAGTGATGATGATGAAAAAGGTTGTGAACCATGCACATAATATATATGCTTTTGTTCGTTAATAAATCGTTATAAATGCTTTTTGTTTGTCTTTCATTAGAATATCTCATGTCATAACAAGAATCATTGTGATTCTTTTTAGATGACTTCAGAAAAATCGAAATCATATCTGTGTAAAATGTTACTATGATTCTTTCTGATAAATTTCAATTAATATGATTGCACCTAAAATATAGGTACTACTATTATTATTCATGTTTGCAATTATTTGGCCAAATCATGAGACTTTCTTATTACTGATTATAACAATAATTTCTGTTACAGAAAAAATTAGTCTAAATGTCTTTATTTTTCCATTTAAATTATCGATTTCAATGGTCTTCTTTTTTTTTTATATATAAGCTGAAATCTCTTTTTAATAAGACATATTTGGATATCGATGTCAAAATTACTTTTACAATTTCGATGACCAATATTCATAAGCTTCATTTTTTATTCTTCTAACTCTTAACTATCGATAAAACGATAATTTAGTAACTTGAACAAATCAGTTGCTACAATAAATCTCATTATTGATGGTTTAAACCGAAAGTTATTTTCTCTTCTTGTATCCTTCAGTAAACGATTTATGTCTGAATAAGGAAATAAAATAATCTTTTCTCTCTTTTATCAATATATAATATACCTTATTACCTCTTGATCAAACAACAGCATCAGTTTGCAGATCTATGCGTATATATGAGAGAATGGAAACGTTATTATGCCGTTTTAAGAAAAGAGACCGATTCAAAAAGGTGAGAAAAAGAATAGATTTTGCCGACTATTTCTACTGATATAACTGAGATAAATAGGAGAGTTGTGGAAAAAACCCATGAAAAAGTCTGAGTGCAACTTTTCCACATGCACATTGAATAACTGCAGAAATACAGAAGCTTTTAAAACTTCGTCAAAAACATTTGAAATTTTAGGTAGAAAGAACTTTGTTTACGTGCTGTGATATACAATTAAAACTCACGGTTCAATACATCTAAGCATATTTAAGATTCAGAATGAATTCTTCAAGAAAAAATTGTGATAAAAAGGTCAATGATTTTCATATCCGAAAAGTGCATACACTTTTATCTCTTATTTGGTTAACTCTCAGAAGTTTAAGCAAAAAGAGATGGTATCGTAGTGAAGACTTAATTGAGTACGATAAAATGACCATTCACTAAATAACAAATATCTTCATTAAACAACAAAACAATCAAACTCATTTTGTTGCATTTTTCTCTCAGCCACAAAATAATCTTTTTTAAAAGTCTGAATGAAAATATTCAGTTTACTTTTCTTAAGCACTAAATTGCCTTATCAGAAACAATTGAAGAGAAATAGATCTTTGGTCGTTGAACATAATACAAATCGTTGCATTTAAATCTACATAGGAATAAAACTGACCAACATGATTTTTTTTTAATTATCATTCGTATTGAAGGTCCTTCTTGCTATTAACACAAATAAACTAAGTAGAAGAGACAGTATGCGAAAGGATCATGCATCTACGCCTAAAGAATACGCTAAGAACTAAAAGTTACAATGTCTATTGAATTTCATAGTAGAAACAATTGTTTTTTTTTATGAATTGAAATGTTTCTGGATAAGTTATCGATACATGTAACCAAAGCCTATAAAAAAAAGAAATTATTAATACATACTTTTATCAGTAAAAATTTCATGTGCATCCATCTGTTATACTTTTGAGCAAACAACGAAATAATATACAGGTCTATATATGGCTATGTTCGCGTGACATTGATAAGAAAAAAAAACACACTTTGTACTCATGACAATAGAAAAACTCTCTCCAAGCTATTCGAATGATTCTAAATGGTTTAGAACACTTCAAAATAGCTTGAAATGTTCGAATAGTTTCTTCTTCTTCGCTTCACGGTCATCGGTGAGAAGATTTCGTTTCAGCTCATATCTGTCAAGTGACAGTTCATTTTACTATGTTCAAAGAATTCGATCATTTCTATGAGCCACTAAAAAACTTTCTTTGAAAAATTCAGTTGAAGTAAATCAAAAATGACTTGACTCGCTTATCTCTCATTGATGGTCCAAAAATCCGTCAAAATAATAAAACATCAAATGAATCTTTTTCAGAGGAGAACTTAAATTTAAAGGAAATGTTAGGCTTGATTAGAAAGCTACTTAAAGTGATGTTGAATTTGCTGTTGAACTATTAGACATAGCAATGCTAGGGGATGAAGTGGATCAATGTGCAGGTGATTCTCTGTTACAAGCTATATAAAATAGATCATTTACACAAAACAGAGTTAATCACATGATTAAGATCAAAGATATCCATTCTAGATTCTTCTAGTCAAACTCAATAGATTATCAATCAAACTGATTACCATGCTTTTAAAAATTCATTTAATGTTTGTCGATGATGGTTAATGTTCTCATTGATAGTTAATGTTCCTCGAAACAAACTTATTTTTTCTCCTGCTAAAAATAATTCTAATTGTGACAGAAAGATATACTTCGAACTATAATGAAGATGTCTTTTTAATCTAGCTGCATTATGAGAACTATAATATAATATCGTGATATTACTTTGTGTATGATTTATCATATATAACTTTTCCGTTTCTAATCTGGATATGTCTAACACACGTAACGACCAACATAGTACTTCATCAGAGTATCGATCACATCTAACGAGACATTGTGGTAATATTTGGACTTCAAAATTTTATGAATCTATCTATGAAACAATATTCGCTATGATCAACGCTATTCAAATCGAAACTTCGGAAGTATCTCAGTTTTAGCTTGATTTTTCTTCCGCAGAAGATGAAGAACTATTAAAAGTTTTCCAAGGTTTCGAATATTTATGTTTTAACAACTGGTAAATTCATGCAAATGACTTTAACATTAACAAAGAAAAAAATTCTTTCTCATTAGAATGTTATGAATTGGAAACAGACAATCATAGCAAACACTGTTGCATAAAGATCTATACAAAGCCTTATCTTGTTTATAGTAATTTATTTATTTTTATGTTATACGCTAAAACCGATTGCATCAAATATTAGCATTTTTGTTTCTAATCATCGTATCATGTGAACTTGCGCCATCTTTCAGAAAGCATTGTTTCTATACTATTTTATTCTCATTTATGATAAAGAAGCCGTAAATAAATTTAAAAATTATCAAAAAATTTTAAAAAAATTCCATTCGAGTCAATTATTTTATTATTAGACCTCATCGGTTGTCTAGGAATTATTGTGGAACTCAGAACGGATGCCAACTGTGGACAAGCATAGAGAACAAAGAGTTAACATTGATTATGTTTATTGATTTACTTTTTTAATAAAACAAGAAAAACAATGGTAAATCGTCAAATATCATAATAATCTTTGACCTTTTTTTTGATTCTTATTAGGAAGATCCAAAACTAGAAAAACATTTCAAAAGTCATCGTAGTACTGTTACATCTCTTAGTTTTTCACCAAATACAAAACAACTTGGTAAGTATATGATTCTTATTTCAAGTATAAATGATTTTTATAATTTAACATATTTAGTATCGGGTAGTTTGGATTCATGTCTTTTTCTTTGGCCATTTAAACCTCAAGTTCGAGCTTATCGATTTGTCGGTCATAATGTATAAATAATATATTATTTCATTGTTTTTTAAATAAATCAACATATTTATTCATATAGGATGCTGTTTATTCAGTATGTTTTTCTCCATCGGGTCATTTAATTGCATCTGGTTCAAAAGACAAAAAAGTTCGTCTATGGATTCCAAGTGTAAAAGGTGAATCAACTGTATTCAAAGCACATACAGCTGCTGTTCGATGTGTTGATTTTTCAAGTGATGGTCAAAGTTTATTAAGTTCATCAGAAGATAAAACAATTAAAATTTGGACTGTACATCGACAAAAATTTCAATTTTCACTTAATCAACATTCAAATTGGGTTCGTTGTGCTAAATTTTCACCTGATGGAAGATTAATTGTTAGCTGTAGTGATGATAAAACAGTTAAAATATGGGATAGAAATACAAATGAATGTATGCATACATTTTACGAACCACATGGATTTCTTAATGATGTAGCTTTTCATCCAAGTGGTACTTGTATTGGTGGTGGTTGCACTGATGCAAGTGTCAAAATTTGGGATATTCGAACACGTAAACTTATTCAACATTATGCAAGTAAGAATTGAATATTCTTCTATTGCTATTGTTAAAAAATATATAAAAAAAAAAAAAACAATATTCATGTGTTTAGATCATGTAGCTTCAGTGAATAATGTTGCCTTTCATCCTAATGGAAATTTTCTTTTAACTGCATCAAGTGATGCTACATTAAAAATATTTGATTTACTGGAAGGACGCCTTATCTACACTTTACATGGTCATCAAGTAAGAAAATATTTTAATAATTATAGATGGCTTACATAATTTTTTGCAGTGAGATCCAAGTCTTTGTACAAGTATCTGGCACCCTCTGTATGCATGAGCAAGTGAAGGAGATAAGGTTTTAATTATTTATGGGCTACTCATAGGAAAAAAGTTCACGTACACTTATCACTTGTTCATTTTCCTATCACTCAATACCTATTATGTTGAAAGGTTTCGCTTAGTTGAAAAGAGCATTATGTTAAGAAAAAAGTAAATTGAAGAATTAATTGATAAACAAAATTCGCCAAACCAACGATAATACCAAAATTTTCAGCTTTATGGAATAGTCTTTATTAAATTTATGTAAAAGAGGTCAAGAAAGACTATATTCTATGCAATCATGTGAAGATGTACTTATTGATAAATCAACTATTACTACTAATTCACTGGATAAGCATATTTGTAATTGTCAAAATAAAAAACGATAATTTCCAATGTTCAAACGAGTATCAATCAGGTTTATACATTCTCAAAAAATGTACCAGCTATTACAGATCGGTTTAAGCAGAAAATTAGAGTTGTTTGTGTTGAATTTGCAACACCTTACTGTTCACCATGCAAGACAGTTAATGATATTAGTTTTAAAAATCTTGTATAGAACGTTTTTAATGATGATTGATACTCACATGTAGGAAACTGTGGGTCCTAGTTTTTGTGGACTAGATCTAAGTTCAGCAGTTACTCACTCTAATCCATTAAGAGAGTTAGGTAATGCATCAAGATTCTTGTACAAACGTCAGAATTTTTCACTGCCTTCGACGGAAAATAGTAGTTTTTTCATAATGAAGAAGATTTTGAAAACATTCTTTAAGAAATGTTGAATATTGTATGATTAAATGTTAAGTACTACATAATCAACGATTTGATTCACGCTCAGATGCTAAATTGACATGTCTAAAAAAACACTTTCAATAAAATGACCAAACATACAATAGAATTTCTTTTTCATTTATGAAGAGTCGAAATTAATAACTTTATACAATACGAAATTTGAACTGGATAAAATCTTATGCAAACTGTTGAGCCTAGTCTAGATTCAAACCGTTCCGCAATCGAAAATCATACATCTTGTTTTTCTTCTTTCTAGGGACCTGCAATGAGTGTAGCATTTTCAAAACAAGGAGATTACTTTGCATCAGGTGGTCAAGATCAACAAGTAAATCATACTATAATTCATAAAATAAACATTTTTTTCATATTTATTTATTTGTAAGGTTCTTGTTTGGAAAACTAATTTTGATACCACTACACCATTTGTTGATTCAACTAATACAACAAATAATAAATATACAAATGGAAGTGATCTAACATGTCATGATTACGGTACAACATCACGAATCTCATCGGCAAATATTCAACAAAATAAATCTCAAATAGCGTCATTACGTGAAAAATCTAATCCAGAAACAAGTGATGAACGACGAGCACGAAAAGTAAAATTTTTTGAAAATATCTTTTTTTTTTATTTTGAAAATTTTGCTTCATTATTCGATGAATTCAGATCGATATGTTTAATGGAAAATCAACAACACGTACATTTGATGATGACGATCGTCTTGAGATAACAAATATTGGACCAGCTTATGAAAATGGCATAGCTCGTGTAAGAAGAATATTTTGAAATATCACGATCTTTTTTCTTTCATAGATATATTATTTAATTTGTTTTTCTTTTCAGTCAAATAGTGCTTCAGCTTGCTTAATTAATTCAGCAGCAGTGGCTAATGGAAGAAGTAAAAATAATCGTGCGACATATGATATTGAAACTACTGCCAATCAAACATATTCACCACAATTAACAAATACACTTGAACATATTGTTCAACAATTAGATATATTAACAAAAACAGTAGCTATACTTGAAACACGTTTAACAATGACTGAAAGTAAATTACAAGAGCGAAATGAACAGGGACAAGATAATAATAAAAAAATTTAACCCTTTTTCTTTTTTTAATTCCATGTAAATATGTCAGATTCTTGTGTTGTTGTTTTTTTTTCTATACACCTACGCTTACATATGAATAATTTCATTTCAATTTTATGTTCAACAATACCTAGTTCAGCATGACTTCAATGTTTTCTATATTTGTGAGTAAAACAAAACATTGTCACTTTTTTTGGTGTTTTTTCTGTGCGTGTACTGTAGATCTTATGAATCAGTTCTTTTTATGGCTTTATTCAAACTAAATAACAAAATACCATAAAAGAAATGATATAAATCACTAAACATTAGTATGGTTTCCAAAACTATTATAGTTCAATAATGAAACTATTTTTACATGAATATGTATTAAAAAAAAGTTCTAAAGCTTCGACAGAGAATTGTGTTATGACAAAGTTATATAACCATCATCAGCTGCTAACTATGCACATCTTATTAATCTCTATGGCCCTGTATAAAGCCAATGAAATATAATCGTAGTCAAACGAATGTTGAATGAATTTTAGTTATTATCGAGCGAGAAATATAAGACTTTAAGACTGTAGTTCTTATTGTTTCTTCCTACGTTACTATTCATAAACAGATTTATAAAAATCGCAAGAAATGAACTGAAATAGAATTTGGTTAACATTGGTTCGTATGTCTATACAAAAATTGGAAAATTTCATTGATGATCATTAATATATATACATATATTGGATTAGAGGCTGAGAATTGTATTACTGTTACAAAAGAAAAAATGAATTCACAAAAAAAAAGTGAAAGAATATGAACTGATGTATGTTGTCCATTTTGTGTTCGAATTCAAGTTCTCTATATACTAAAGAATAACGAAACAATGTAATAGTGAAAATTTAACTAAATTTAGACCGTACATATTGATTGAGTTTTGACATTTTTGGCTAATTCGAGGTGTGGGTATGTGAGGTATGCGTATGTCTGTTCTTAAGAAACAAAAATACACCCACATCCTCACCTAAAAATCAATTTAAATAGTTTTAAGATGAAACTTAAGCCATTGGAGAACAGGAAAGAAAACATCAACTATAAAAAATATTCAAGATATTCTTAGAAACAATCGAGATGAGAAAGAAATCTTTGAACTACAGAATAGAAAAAGAAAATTTCAACTCATCAATTTAATTACGAACGATAAATAGTTTCTAGTTTAGTTTTACGAACATTTGACATGTGAAATAAACCTTTGAGCTGCATATAGAAAAAAAAATTAATTATATTCCGCTGTGATCACTATTTTACCTCAATGAATTATATAACTTACATAAAACGACAATAAAAAAAAATCGTGATTTTTCTTCTAAATGACAAACTATATATATTTATAAACAAATGTTTATCACGGCAGTAAAGCATACGGCAGTAAATCCTGTAAATATCTCTTAATATATCTCTACTAAACTGACAGAGAACAGACCAATACATTAGTGATTATATTCTACATTTAGTTTGAGGATTCCTTAGTTCGGAACGAATCAAAATGAAGATTTCAATGTGAAATGAATGGCAAATTGTTTTTTCCTCGACAACATATTGCTAATTCTGTATTCTTCATTCCTTAATTTTAATACTTAAATTTCAAATACGTTTACAAGAATCAATCTATCCTTTATGCCCTATGATCCCTTGAAACATCGGCATTCTATCGCGAAATCGACGCAAATGTTGACTGAAAAAGAGTAAACACCATAAGTAATGACATAGTTTCTCAGCGATCATCCTGATCAAACTATCAATTTTATTGAAAGACTATCCATCACATATTACTTGCTACAAATGACTAATGTAGAACACAACATCACAGAGGTGAAAAATTCTTATACACCATCGAACAACGATGCTGCTTTAACTCGTAGTAACAAATTATCTAACTATTTTCTTTTAAACTGTCATTATCAAATGATAGATAAATGTGCGATACATCATTAACATTCAGTAAAACGTGGTCCGAAAATTCGGCATAGTAAGGTTAATTTGATGCACTTGGACATATGAATGCACGAAGATATTTTGATGTTGAATCGGTTTCATATATTGCTGGTAATAATGATTCACATCTATCAGAATACATTTCATATTCTCGACCTCCATATTGCCAAATAGCAAAAATGCTAGGAGTTGACCATCGATCGTAGACTATGGTACAGTCGAATGTGTAATAATTTGGATTATCGTTGTCATTTGCTTCATTACTATTACCTCTTGCTGTTGTCGATTTTAAGTTGAACCAATCAAATTTAATCTAATTGTACTTACAAATAGATCAAAACTGTAAGATGATAAGGTACGATTCTGCTTTACAGTCATTGTACAATGTTCACATATGATATTGATTTGGTTTTATAATTGCATGTAATTAATGTTGTTTCAACCATCTATTAAAAATGCATTTTTGATGATTCCATGTGGATCCAATTGATAAAGACTATCGAATATTTTCATCAAAAATGTGTGTGAATCCATCATTGAACAAATTTGTGTAGCATTGAAGCTATGTAGATCAACATGATAAATAAATACCTTATTTTCAAGTTCGATCACCACTGCAATACAGGATGAAACACCTGTTGTCGATAAAACAATTGGATCAAAATCAAAATTGCTCAACTCTATGTTTCTAATAGATTCCATGTGATGTTATCGTTTCGAAAAGATTACGTATACTGTTTACAATGGTTGTCCTTCTCTCTTTTTCTTTCTTTGTAACTATAGAGTATCGCTTCTTTTTATCCATATCGATGTAAACATTCTTCGATTTTGTCTCTTACTGACGTATAAACGAATCAGCGAATCAAGACATGTTTTTCCATGCGAACTGTATTTGAATAAACAGCTTTAGCTATTTTTATTGTAAAACAATCTAATATATGCAATTACAACAAACAATGATCTAAACTTAAGAGCCTTGCAATTGTTTTGCTACTCTATACGTGATACTTGCAGAAGGAAAACTAAACTTAATTGTTTAAGGTATACGAGATGCCAGAGCTCCGCGAAACGACAACAAATCGTCCCATTCCGTTCCCTGTCTCGCGTTTTCTTGTTCCGCCCTGTCCCATCCTGCTTCATTTTTCCTTCAGAGTCTCGCCTCATTCTGGCATGAGAGCATAACTCTTTCTCGAAGTAGACTTAAAAAAAACACCAAAAAATTTACTTTCATTTTCGATTTCAATTATTTATTTAGTCAAACATCTATTCCAAAATAATATTTGTATGGCAAAATTTTTATCGCAATAATGAATAACAATGAAAAACTCAATAAGAAGCACAAATTTAAATACTGCTCATCAAGTAACTGATCTTAGAAGATCATCTGAGAAAAGGTCTATTGTCAATATTTTTCGAGATGTGGCTTGCGTGTTCTGGAAAAATAAAGAAGGTTTGCAGAATGGCTTGAGTCTCTGAAAAGCTCTGCTTTGTTAACTGAAAGCAGAAACCTTTAAAAAGATTCTGGACATTAAAAATTCTTCTGACATCCTCGTCGAAACTTTTTTCCTGACCAGAGCCTTTTTTCATAGTTTTGACTCTCAAATAAAACACAGAACCTTTTAGAAGCCTAAAAGGTTCTATAAGCCTCCTTCATTTTTTTCCCGAACACCCACAACCTTGCCTCATGTAGACTTGGCGGGATGCACACATGTACTGATTTGATCCTGCCTCATCCTTTCCCGCTAAATTTTCAATTTTATCGTTCCATTCCGTCCTGGAGCGGGACGGGACTTATCCCGCGTCCCACGGAGCTCTGTAAGATGCAACAATGAAGAGAGTTTTATATGTATATATAGACCAACAATTGATCTGTATTTATTGTTATACTTTTACTTGAAAAAGGTGAGAAAAGCAAATTTTTTCCCTTGTCTTATGTTTTCTTTTCATTCTATACTTATGTATATAAGAGTGTGTGTTGAATGTTCGGTCCATATTAACAACCATCATCCAGAATCTGTCGTTTTTCTTATTGAACTTGTGATTTGTTTAGCACTAAAGATCAATATATTCTTCATAATCAATAATCTAACAAAATAATTTTATTTTAAAAACAAAACAATAACAAAAATAATTTGAAAAGAAAAACAAAATTTCATATGAGACACTTTAAATACTTTTATGACTAGAACTTAAATTATCAAATGGTTTTTCAATTTGTATAAGTACACATTATTGATTTCGTATATAATCATGAAAAATACATCGACATTTATCATTAGTTTTCTTATCTATTTTGAATAAGATATTGCTTATATTAAACATATGTTTAACTAATAGATATTCATTACGTTGATGAAATATTTCATCGATATAATGATTACATTCATTTAACTAATAAGATCTGTTTCAGTTGGTTCAATACAACAATGTGTTATAAGATAAGTAAATAATTGCATTTGTTTATTCATTAAATCATATAATTCACGTAATAAACGTGTATGAAATTTAATTTGTAAATCAATTAATATTTATTATGTAATTGTATTAAATAAAGATAAATTGGTTCAAGAATAAGTATAAATGGAGATATAAATGATTTATTTTATCATGAAAAATATAAAATGGATTAAAATTAGCATATTCGATAAGTAAACGAAAACATTCAATTGAACCATATGGACGTAATGATTGACTTTTAAACTATTTTATATTATATTTATCAATACTAATTTGATGATGTTCAGCTAATAAAGAAAGACAAAAAAATTGTTGTTTTTTGTTGTTGACTTAAATAATCAAATGTAAAAGATTTAAATTGAAATAGAATTGATACAAGATTAGAACTATCATTACGAATAATACATGCTACTGGTATTTCATTTTCATATGCTTCTAATTGACGTTGAAATTAAATGACGTGGTTCATCATGTAATAAATAAATATGTTATTGATTTGAACTACTAATACCATCAAGTGATGCATATGGAAAATATTTTAAAATTATTTTTAGAATATTATGGTGTGGATCTAGATCTAAGTGCAGATATGTATCTCAACTCACACCCATCCCACACTCCACCGCGTAGTAGCAAGAACTATTAATATACTTCCTATTGTAACTACGACCTTACTAAGACAACCTATTGACCTTTAAACAATTGATTATAAACAATAATTAAAAACATCGATATATATATATATGAAACAGTATACAAACATGTTCATAGGTACAGTAGAAACATAATTCATCGGTACATAAATTTGTTGTGATGCATAGAGAGCTGTTGTCGGAGCAGAAGAAGATCCATTCTAGAATACATATGAAAGACTATCATTTATATGAAATTAGAGATATTGAAATAAAACTGCTTTTCAGATTTCTTGTTTGATTTTAATTTAATATTTGATTTTAGCGACTATATCTAAATCTGAATATAGCAATACTCACTGTATAAGACTGATGGTTAGGATACAGACTATAGTGAATTCATGATACGATCCATGTTAGGCACTTATTTTTCAATTGTGAAGTGTAAACTGAACTTTCTCAAATGAAAACTTGCTTTGAGAAAGCATTTATTTCCAAGTATTTCGAAGTTATATAATTTTTCCACGTACTTGTATTGAAAAAGAATGACAAAATTATATTACTGATTGAAAAAATTCAGAAAACAACTCTTGATGCATGTTAAGAATAAAAGGCGCGTCTGCTGCAAAACTCAAGTTTATTTTAATTTGAAGACGTAATTAAGCAAAGTAAACAATCCCATATGCATATAAATAGCGTTTACTATAAGTAAGGCAATATTTGATGCTGTTATTTATTACAGTACATAGTTCTTTTTCATATTCAAGATACTCATTTGTAGACGAATTTTTTATGTTTTGAGAAGAAGTTATTCATGCTTTTTCAAAAAATATTCGACTCCGATTTTGTTTTCACGAGAAAAACAACAAAGTTTTATCGATTTTCTTGATAACTTAAAGAGAAAATATAATTATATTTTCTTTGAAACAAAAATAGTTTTATGTATATGTAACAAGTGACCCGGAAATAATGGAACAGTTTATATTTTGTGGATATCGTTCGGTTTTTATTATAGAGAGTTGAGATTAGACTTGAAACATACCCCATTAAATTCTCTACAAGACCTATATCAGATATTCTTTTGTACAAAGCGAACTAGAATTATGACAACAAAAATATTCAAGGCTTTCAAAAGGACCAATTTTCTAAGCCATTTTTTAAATAATATTTAGAATCTTTTTTTTATAATTTCGACAACAAAAAACCTTACAGAAAATACTTTTGAGTATTTTGAAGTATGCTCTTTCTCATCATATATCTCAACGTTCGTTGCAATCAAATTTTCAATGTTCTATTCAAAATGGCGCAAATCTAAAACTTTTCGCTATCCGACTTGAACAAGAGAATCTTAACTCAACTTTCACCTCTGAATTCGGTATGGTGGTCATTTTTCATCAAAATAAAGACAACTCGAACTCAAAAGATGTTATTTTGGCTTAGTTATGCCTCTCGTCCTAGAAGCTTCAAAATTATAGATTGAAATAACTAATTTCTCGAAAATTTGCAAAGATGAGCATGAAATTTTTCAAATTAAGATCGTTCGATATAGATTTTCAAGGTCTACAAAATACCTATTATATTATATTATTTTGGTCGTCACTAGCCAATGAAAAACTCTCAAAGAAAACTTCCCAGCTTAGAAAGTTGGCTCTTTTTAATATGTTGACTACTCTTGTTTTTATATTTCTTTTTCGCTTGGTACAGAGAAATGTCTGATACATATCTTGTAGAGAATTCAATGGGATATGTTTTAAGTCTAACTGCAACTCTCTACGATCAAAGCCGAGCAAGATATGCACAAAATACAAAATATGTCATTTTTTTCTAAGTCACTCATTATTATACGTTACTAAATGTATGTCACAATCAAAAATTCAAAAGAATGAGACATACTTCAATATTATCAAGTAAACTATAATAATTTTGAGGACATATTTTTTTAGAAGTTTGGAGTATTAATTTACATCTTATTGTTTGTCAGTCTATTTCATGATTTGATCTAATATAATAAAAACTTTGTTTTTTTTTTCTGTCTATGATATACTTTTACGCATACTTGGATACTCTTGAGAATTAATTTATCATCAATTCATTCATGAGAAAACTAATTTAGATGACAATAGAAAATAGATGTATTTCTTATGCTTGTTATTTGCATAAATGCAAAGCGATTGAATAGCACGAATGTCTAAACACATTTGGACATTAAACTAGATAGACATGTGTTGATTTACACTTGTTTCAAGAAATCATGATAAGCTTTCATTCGATAAGAATGTTAATAACTATGAAATATATTGTAAATGGTTAAGTCTATGTTTAAGGTATATCTTCATGTAGCTGAAAACTTTCTACATAGGGTGATTTATAATTTATAATAGAGAATTAAAGTCTTTCATAGTATTCGAGATACAGTCATTATGAATTTGTTTAACCCTTTAATTGCGAGGTCCACTTACATGTAAAATGTACACGAATTGAATTTTTATCTAAACGCTATTCATGGAACTACACGAACGATTCCATACGATTTTGGGCAACTCTAATCAACTCTGAAAATACTGCATGTCTTAGTGTTACCTGAAGCCTAGTGCAGTCCATTGTTTTGTTTTTCAGTATATATATCCGACTCAAAACTTCGATGAGCAAATCCACATTTTTAATCATTTCTGTAAATCCTCTGTGCCTACAAGGTTAAGCTCATGTGTCTTTTCCGATTAAGTTAAAAATCAGTTTTCTTCAATTGATGATCTCATTAATTAAAAAATTGATGTTTGTTTGAATTTCAAATATTGTAACGTGTAATTTATCTAGTGATGCACGAATCTTTTTCTTTCAACATACAAGAGACAAGAACATTGACATCTATGAACGGTTTTCTCACTAGATTATCATCCTCATAGAGGGCTCAATCACTTGACCAATGGTCAACAAAGCTCACAAGAATATTGACCATTGTCCATTTGAGAACAATAAAAACGGCCAAATAATAACTTTTTAATTTCATTTATCAATTATTTAATACAAATAAATTCTTTTAACTAAGAAATTATGCCTCAACGAACACTTTTAATTACTGATTTCTTCGCTAAATGTCGCTCGACATCAACTTCGAATGCTACTCTTTTTGACAAGCCTGTGAAAGTAATTAAAATCGATGAACGATCAAACAAAAAACATGAAGAAGTCGATGTAAATCTTCATCAATCTACACCGAATCTTCTTCCTCTCGAAGTAAATACGCCCTTATCAATATGTAAGACACTTAATTAATAATACTTCATCATATCAATGCCAGTTTTTCAATTTCTTTTTTAGCAACAGTTAAAAATCCTGATACGACTCAACGAAATGAAATTATCTCGGATAACACAGATTCATTGCCAAAAACTTCTTCAACAAAATCATTAATACCTTCTCGAATTAAATTTGTTCGCCATCGTAGTGCTCCACTTCATCATCGTAGTCCAATCAAAATGCGTGAAGCTTCATTAGAACAACAAGATCTTGAAGATATACGTGCACGTATTCATGCATTTAGAAATGACTTATATAAATATAAATCGACATATTCTCGTTCGCCTATTAAACGTTCTAATATCATCGGAGACGCTTTATCAAGTCCATTTAAATATCCTCCACCACACACACCAATAAAAAGGTATAAAATATCAATCATATATCTTCAACAATAATAAATTCTTATTTTTAGTTATCCATCTATTCCAGCTTATGAACGTTTTAATTCACTTGTAACTACTATAGAATTACCATTACCAAATAAATATGAATTATTACTTGAACAATATAAACATTTGGATTTTCTTGTTTGTCATACACATAATAATGGAGGTATAAGTACATTTGAAAAAGTTCAACATGTTATACAACAAAAAACAAAACGGTATTTATATTTTGTTCTTACTTGAAATTTTAATTTCCAATGAATTTATTTAGAAATTTTACTTTACAAACACTTGGTCGTATTAAAACAATTTATCCAACAATGTTTAGTTTTCAACAAGAAAAAATTCAATTACCAACATTAAGTCCAATGAAACTTAAATATGAATTAACAATTACTCCAAGTATTTTTTTTTTGTATTAATTGTTTGAAATTGTATATCGATTCTATTTTAGTTAATTTTGGTATTGAATCAAATATGCAAATAACTCCATCGATTATTATTGAACGTATTGATTGTTTTCGTCGTGCTTTATTTGATCTAGTCAAAGGACATCATCGAGTAAATTAAAAACTTTTCAAATAATTTATATACCATAGGAAAGCAACAATTAACCACATATGTGACAGATGTTTAGTTCTTTTTCGTTTCTCACAAACTTTAATTTACACATCAGAGATTCTATCATACAGTGAACGGTGTGAAGGTGATGGTGGCATATGAAAAGTAAATATGTGCATCTAGGAATAGATAAGTAGATGATTTTGTCGGCAAACGGTAACTAAAACGTTGACATTAACTTTTTGCATTTTCGCAATGTTACAAGAAGATGAGAAGTTCATTCATTGTACAATTACAAAAACTATGTGGATGATGAGAGTTTTTCAAAGTAACTACTAGTTACTTTTGTATAACACTTCATACAGATTTTACTTCTCTGAATTACTTCTCTATCATACAAATGAAACTTATCTGACACTTTTATTTTTCAGTGTTACTACCAATTGTCATAGATCCATACGCAGTAGTTCTCGAAATTTTTCGATCAGCTTTTTTGTCTACTGTCGTGAATTCTAACAAAAAGTTTTTGAAAATGAAAATGTTTGCTGATTTGCTGAGAATAAGATCTCTGGAGAAGGAATATCTAAGTCTCTCAACTCATGAACTTAGGAAACAGTACTGTTTTCGAATTATCTAGAATGATAGAGCATACAATCGTTTATCAAAAGAAATGTCATCGTGTTCTCTAGAGAGTTTTTTTGATCGGGATACATCAACCTGACGGAGGACCCAGCAATGATGCTTTCATATGAGACAGCAAAGAAAACAATTGTTATGTCTGCCGTCTGATTGTGGCATTCCGGTCAAAAAACGTCAGAGAGAATACGACGCATTTCATTCGATATAGAATTGTTATACTAGGTAATTCAAACTTATTCTTGAAAAACTGACAATCATTGTCACCTACAAAAGTCACTATTTTGACTCTTATGAGTGTTGACCGAATAATTTTAAGAACTGCTATTTATGTATAATATATTTTCTAGACATTTTTATCAAATAAACTTCAATTAAAACTTGAAGAACTTCCTAATGATGAAAATCTTGCACGTTGGCATCCAGATTTTGATTTAGTAAATATTCCTGATATTGAAATATCATCATTACCCGAATCACCAGATAAAGATTATAAACAATTATTAGCATCACCCATTGAAATTCGTCATTATGCTGAAAACACACAATCACAACGTGTTAAACGTGCATTATTTTCAACATTTTCAAATGATGATATATCATCATCAACAATAACATTATCATCACCAACTAAAGAAACATATTCAATCGATGGAATATCTTCATCATTAATCGAAAAAGTAATATTTTTAGTTTTTTTTTTCATCAATAATACAATTAAAACTATTGATTTCTTTTGTCTTCTATTTGTAAAGATTCGTTCAAAAGAAACAAATCAATTATTATCAAATACAATTGATAAACAAAAGCAAATGCTTTCTTATCTTGAACAAACAATTAGTATTGTTCAACAATTTTTTATTGCTGAACGTGCAACATCACTTGAATTAGATTATGTTGCTAAACAAGTTCGTGATTGTCATTCCAGTCACCTTTCATATAGTAAGTTATAAATAAATTCTATTGAATCGTGCTGTTTTTTTTTTATCTTGTTTTTTTATTATTTTATTTCAATAAATTTAGATCAATCAACGGAAACTCTTAATTTCCTTCATACATATCCGGCAAATAATGGATGGCTTTCAATAATTACTATTCGAGGAAGATATTTCATCAAAATTAATCGACATAAATCAATTAATACAATTATTGAAACTATTCAACGAGAATTACAAAATTAAAAACTATGAGAAAAAGAAAAGAGGACGCTGTTTTAATTTTATATCATCATGCTATTGTTAATCTTATGCCCTAATTGAAATTTCATGTTGTTTTTCCTTTCTGTTTTTTTATTCTATATTTGAACATTAATATGTCTATGGGGAGTCTATGAATTATCGTTCGGTCTCGATCAGCTGAAATGTAGATAAGCTATGAACTAATAATGTCATTTTCTTTTTATTAGATCGAATGGATAATATAATACTTTGAAGTTTATCAATAAATTATAAATTAGTTTTCGTATAATTATAAGTCTTCTTTTTGATATATAATTGTTCGTAAGCTAAAGATAAAGTTTTGATAAAAAAGAATCACAAATTAGAACCACATGGTTGATAGTTAATGGTTTCCAATGAGACAAATTGATTTCAATTACTGTAAAACTCGTCGTGCATTCATTAGAAAAGCAAAAAAATATCAATAATTAAATATAAAACATTATTCAAAGATCAAAGTACCGAAAATATCTGACATATGACAATCATATAGTCAAGAATGGGTATGTGTGTTTCTGATTCATAACTTATTCATTTCTCAATTGATCAAATTCAAAAGATAATCTTCTCGAGTCATAGAAGCATTACAAATTTTAGTAATCGATCAAGAAATTCAATTGTATATATCTCGATAAGTTGATGAACACAATTGAATCTATTTTCGTAATCTAATTTTCTTTCTTATCTTTCTGTTTTGTTTATATCTTAATTAATATCTTTCTAAAAAATAAGATTATCATATTGCATGATTTTGTAATATAACAAAATCAATTCAAATTATAAATAATAACACAATATATATATTTCATTTCATTTCGTTCTCGTACTTTCTTTGTTTTATTTCGTCTCTTTGTTTCTCTGTGTGTATGTATATATAAATTTCTTACTCGAAATCATTTCATCGCAGTCTGTTATCAATGCACGCAAATGCGCGAAAAAAACTAGTATTACATCAACAATGAAAAAAAAATGAACATATGAATTGTTGTGTGTGTATGAAAAAAAACAAGAAGCCAACGAACAAACAAAAAAAAATAGAGCCACATGTTTTTTCTTCTTATCTCATCACACAGACTTCGTTTGTCTTCACTCACATACGTACAAAGAGACACACAAGAAAAAAAAAGAAAAAAAGAGGAAGGCGACTGGCTGCCTAGCACGGCCAAAAAACAAGAAAAAAGAAAGATGAAGAAAAAAAAAGAAAGAAAGAAATGAAGAGACCGACCAAACGGTGACAACAACAACGGCAACCAAGGACAGAGAAGAAAAAAAAGATAGAGCGACGGTCATGCACACACACACACAAACACACACGCATCAGCATCAACATCATCAAAATGGCACTCGAGACGAAGTGAAAAAAATGAGGAGAGAGAGAGACAGACAGAAAAAAACGGCACACACGAGAGAAACTTGGTGGTTGAACAATGAACAAAAGATCCACACAAGTTCTCTCATTCAAGCCAGAAGATCGCAAGAAACAAGGAAAAAAAACTAGGGAAGGTTAGAAGAAAAAAAACAAACAAACAAATGATGGGCTGTTTCATTAGAAGGTCTTCTATGACAGATCCTATGGAAAAGCAATTAAATAATAGATAAAAACTTTTCGCTTTCTTTTTTTATTTTAACTTACTTGTGAAGCAACAAGTGATGGATCATTTTGCGGTGGTGGAGGTGGTGGTGCTGATTGTTGTTGTGGTTGAGCTGCAACTGTTTGTTGTGGTGCTGGCATAAAAAGTGCTGCATGAGGATGTCCATGATGATGTGGTGGATTAACTAAACAAAATGCACCCGGATGACCATTAGCTATTTGTAATTGCTGTAATTGTTGCATCGGTAATACAAATGCGGCACCAGTTTCAGGTCCTGGTCCATGTGATAATTGCATGTAGGACGGAATAGCTGGATTAAAAACGCCTAATGGCGGTCGAAGTTGTGCTGCTTGAGCATACATTGGGTGATGAGCTGGATGTGATGGATGTGGTGGTGGACCGGATACAATTGGTGGTGGTGCTTGTTGTTGTTGTGTAGGAGCTTGTTGAGGAAGCATTTGTGCTGCTGACATTGGTGGCCATGGTGGAAATACCACAGTCTGTGATGGATAAGAAACTGTTTGATCCATTGGATACAATGGATGACCACTTTTCATGTCCTTTAAAAAAGAAAAAGCAAATGAAAAATTCACTGACAAAGTATTATTTACACTTACATCTAAGCCTGTTTTATACAATTTCTTATTTTTATTACTAGCATCAGCAAACTTTACATGTACGTGTTTATCAGCAAAATCTAATAAAAAAAAGAACAACAAATTTCATTCATATTATTTAATAGAAATAATTTCTACCTGGAAAACTCTGATTATGGAATCGATTAATAATTGCTTGACATTGTTCTTTATCATTCATGCGTGCAAAACCAACACCACGTGATTGTTTTTGTTGATCACGTAAAATACGTACACTAACAACAGTACCATATTGACTAAGTGCTTGTCGTAAATCTTGTTCTGTCATTTGAGGATCCAAATTAGCAAAATATAAATTAGTTGTATCTTGTTCTTGTTGCTGTGAAGACTAAATAAATATACATATATTTATTTATTAACATTGTATGAATTATATATATATATATATATATATGTATCGTATATGTACTTTAGCTAATTGGGCAGTAAAACCCTTTTTTTGTAATTGAGCTATTGCCATTTGAGCATCTTCATTAGATTCAAAATCAATAAAACCAAAACCTTTACATTTATTTGTTTGTTTATCAATTATTGCTTTCATTGACTTAACTTTACCACAACTATAGTTTGAATATAATGAATTATTTATTCGATAAAATAATAATTATTATTATTAGTATTTTTACCCTTCCACAAGTTTAGCAAGATCTTGATCAGAATAATCAGGTGGTAAATTTTTTATATACAGATTTGTATCACTGAGATGTTGTTGAGTTTGATGAGATGATGATGATGGTGATAAACCATTATTAACTATTGTTTGATGTCCATTTATATAGGGTGGTCGGGGTTGATCATAAACAACATGAGATGGTGGAGGCTGAAAGAAAAAATACATATATATTTAGATTTATATCTTATACACAATTTCATATTGCAACTATTCAAAACACAAAAAGAAACTGACAATATATTGTTAAGTCGTTTCTTTTTTTTGTCATGTCTTTCTTTTCTTTCACACAATCGATGTTATTTATTATATATACAAACCCCTCCTGTCAACAATTCATAGCACACTTCAGCTGTTGTTGGTAATGGTATGAGCTGTGTTGCCGACGATGCGGCATTCCAGTCCATTAATCCCAGCAAAACAACATCGCTCTCCATGTAGAAAGACGAATAGAACAATGATGACGATAACAATAAAAATAGTAATAATAATAATAATAATAATAATACCAGCAACAACAACTGTGTATGTATATATATATATATATAGATCGATAGATAGATGTATGGTCTATACCAAACTATTAGTTTTCATCGAAGACAAGAAAATAAGCCATCTTGAACATGATGAGAAATGCAGAAAAAAAAAGAAAAAGAAACGCGTACACATAGACATGTCTCTATAGACCATGTATATCAAGTGAAAGAACATTACCGGTGCGTAATTTTGACTGATTATAGAGTAGGACGACAAGAGCGAACAAAGTGGCTTTCTGCATTCGTTCGTTCCCTCGTCCTGGTTCCGTTTTTTTTTATGGCAATACTAAAAGAGCATTGGAAAAAGGACGACAAGGGAAGAAGAGAAAAGGAGCGAGAGAGAGACAGAGAGAGAGGGTAAAAACGCAGTAGTGAAATGTAATCATAGTAAAAACTCATCAATATAATAAGCCCCTTTGCACGAGCAGCACGATGCGAACACAACATAGAAGAAAGAGAAAAAGAATGAATGAATACCAATGCAAATACTGTAGGAACGAAGCGAGGCCTAAATATTTGCCTTGCCGATGGGCGACAACCGACAACTATGGACGAAGAAAAATGTGCATATATACAAGATGTATTCTATTACACGTACATATACATATACAAGGAAAAGAGAAGTGCATGACACATCCTTTTCTTTAGTATATTGTCTGTGCTGATATTGTGGTAGAAACAGAACAAACTTGTTTTCTTCTTTATTTCTATTCGCTCGTCAGAGATGGAAATCATTCGATTAATCGCTTAACATATAATATCACTTACTGCATATAAAAAAAAAAGAAAACATGAACCTCAACTCGACCTAACAAGACATGAGCTCTATCTTAATTGTTTATAAACATAAAATGAGTGCATTTTTATTCTTCATATGTATGTATTCATACACATGCTTAAGACTTCGTTTTTTTTTCTATATAATGCGAACCAGCCGCTTATACAAATCTTGATTCTCTCTCTATGTTGTTCTCGATATTTACATATGAATCAAATTCGGCCTATTGAAAATCGCTGAACGACGATAAGAGAAAAGAGAAGCCGGAGGTGGCCTCAGAATTAATCATAAATGCCTATAGTCGCCAGCATCATTTATTTTTCTTACCCTCCTTCTTCTTCTTCTTCTTCTTCTAAGTGTAGTACTAAACAAATCGTATCTGTTAATGCTACGTTCCCTCTTCTTCTTCTCTTCTCTTATGCTTGTCCTATCTTGCTATCTGTCTGTGCCTGTCTGATTGGGAATAGAAGTATAGTCAGCTATAAACAAAAGAGAGAAGAGAAAAGAAAAAGACTCTAATCAATTCTAGCTCGAAGCTATTCACTGAACAACTTCAAAGTTTCTTTGTTTCTATCGCGTCATCCTTAATTGGCGTCGAATATTTTATACATACAAATTTCCAATGGGTATGTGATAGAAAAGAAAGATTTAATAACAAAATGCTACTGACAAACATATGTGTATATGCAAAAAAAAAAAGTTATGACAACATTCTGTCTGTCATGCGCTACA